GGAATATGTTGAAGTGCATTATATTGCAACGACAACTTTTGTGTTGGATAGTCCATTGCATTGATTGACAACACAAGAAGGTTCTTTGATCCACTTGCAAATTGGTGAACCCAAAACAAGCTAATATAATTTTTCCATCTTCACAATTAGAGTATAGGATTAGTAATCGACTTATTGTCTATTGATATTTATTTTTTGTTGAAGAAGAATTGATATTTGGAAAAGATTAGTTGTGAATCAAAGACAAAATTAGAGATTAAAGCACACAATCACAAACCTATAATAATTTCAGGATTCTTTAATTAATCAAAGAGTGGAATTTGAGAGTAAACAAGAAAGAGATTTTTTTTAGCATTGATTTGAGTTGATTTGAGTGCTAAACAATTTTGTAAAGACTTTGTAAAGTTAGGGTTATTTTCGAAAGACTTTGGATTTTGAAAAATTTAAAGAGTTGGTACTTTAGACAATTGTATAAGATTTGTAGATGATTGAGAACTAGGATTAAAAGACTAGCAAGGATTTCTAACATATCCATCAATTTGTTATTTGGATTGAAGTCAAATTTTTCATACAAATAATAAACCTAACTTCCAATAATTATAAAAAAATTAAAATTTATTGAATAGTGAAATTAAGAGATTTTGGTTCTAAAATATTGGCATCAAGGTTGGAGAAGAAAGTTGGCCAATATCCAAGTAGATTCCAAAGATTATCTTCTATGTAGTATGTATGATCTTTTTTAATTTTTAGTACTTATTTTCAATTTAGCTAATAAGAAGTGTAAAAATTTTGAGTTAAAATCAATATTTTGATCATTAATTATTGATATTTCAATCCATTATGGAATTTAGGGCTTTTTTAGAGCTTAGTTAAGATTCATTAGGATTTCATTAGGATTTAGTTAGAATTTTATCAAGATTTAATTTAGAGATTTATTAGGATTTCATTAGGATTTCATTAGAATTTGGTTTAAGATTTAGTTAGGATTTTTTTATAGTTTTATTAGAATTTGTTTAGAATTTCATCGAAATTGGTTTAGGATTTGATTAGGATTTGATTAGGATTGGTTTAAGATTTTATTAGTATTTATTGAAGATTATATTAAGATTTGGTTAGGATTCAATAAGAATTTGATTAAGATTTAATTAAGATTTCTATTTTTAATATTCTTTTAGAATTTCTTTATTATATATATTTTAAGATTAATTTATAATTTCTTAATATTTTTTTTATAAGTTTATTAAGTCTCTTTTGGAATTTAATTAAAGATTAATCAGAATTATTATAATTTAATTAAAATTTATTTAGAATTCTATTAGAGTTATTAGGATCTTCTTTTTGTACGTTCTATTTTATCTTCTATAGCTAAGTGCCTCATACATTCTGAAGCAAACTTCATAAAATATGACACTATGAATTGAACAATATAGCAAATTCTTCCAACTTAGTAAGGACTCCAAGATAGTGATGTTGCAAGTAGGGTAGGCTTAAAAAAATTAAGTTAGAAAAATTTTAGGATAAAATATATGATTAATATATGAATGAAAAAATTAATAAATTAGATGAATATTTAATTAAAGATGAAGTTTTTAGCATGGATGATAAGCATGTGTGTATTTTTATTTTATTTTTTTAATTTCAACAGTTTTTCAAACTATGTCCTATAATAGATCATGTATTTTTTTTAAAACCATCATTATCTATTTTTACCAATAATTAACATATTAATGTATCAAACATAGAATTTTTATTTTAATTCTTATTATTTTTTCATATTTTTAGTAATTTTTTATTTATTTTTAATATACCTTGTAAATATATATTATTAATAATACAACAATATATGTCTAAAAATATTATTTTTAAGCTATCAAGATTTATTCTTAATGTACTCCAAATCTTTTAGTTATTATTTTTTTCATTTCCATCCAAACATCTTCTTCTTCTTTTCAACTTTTATAAAGCTTTCTTCCAAAACCTTAATTTTATTTTTCTTAAAAATACATCCATAATTTTTAAGCTCATAGATAGGTTATTGTAAGCTTTAATAAAAAATTACCAACCTCTTAAAATTCATTTGGTAATTCAATGTGGTATCCATAAGAATGATTAATAAATAAATTTAGATTTACATCTTAATCAAGTTCTTCAGTATCTATTTTATGAACTATCATAGAATAATTTTTTATTTATCTCTAATTTTTTTTTGTTACAATCAATATACTACAAGCACTAGTAAGTAAGACATTTTTGAGTAATATATCTATAACTATATCTAGATATTTTACATCATCTGGAATTATAATGATTTTTTTTATTTATTTATTTTTTTTGTTCGTCATAAATTAGCTTTTTTGGTTTTAGATTCATTCTTAAATTGTTCTAAGATGTTGTAAGATATTTTATAGCTATCACCAACCTTTTAAATATTTTCAATATAGCATGAGGCATTCTACATGTATTTTACATCATTAAATGAAACTTTGCAATTGTAGTCTTTCTTATCCCTTCCATGTTAATTAGACAAATTATATTTGTGCTATTTATGCATAAATGTGATAGTTCTAATAAGTACTGTCTTCTCCTCAAGACCATTTCTATATTATAATCAATGTACAAAGGAATTAAAATTATAAATTTAAAAAATTACATAATGCCTGTAAGAGCTTCTAAAATAATTATGTAAATACAAATTTACTTTTTGGCATTCAAAAAACATTGAAATAAAATCAAATATTAAAAAATATAAAAATGAAATATTCAAATTATATTAATAAATAATTTATATTAATTAATAAAAATAGTACTAACAGTAAATCACTATGCTTTTGTTGCAATTGAATTTATTGATAAGTATTATTTTTAGATCCACAATAAGAAATCATTATAATTGTATAAGTTTCTAATCATTTAAATATATATATATATATATATATATATATATATCAATCTTTTTCAGATACTTCCAAATTTTGGATGTTTCAAAGGATTCAATTTATAACATTCTTTAATCATTATTTTTACTTTATTTTCATTTTTTTCAAATAAATCTTTTTTTTTGCAAATTTTATATATATATATATATATATAATTTAGCATACAAATTTTGTTTTCCACAATCAGTTATTGATAAAATAATCTTAATTATAATTTTAAATAAAAAATAAAAAATAAAAAAACACTCATAGACCAAAAATTTGTCTAAATTTGATATCATTATTGTTATTCATCAAAAATCATTAAATAAAAAAATCATAAAATAATCAAGTGTTTAAAAAAGTTTGACCCATTGGTTCTTATTCAACATATTTTTTTTTCTAATAAAACCTTCAATTCTCCTACACAACTTTAGCAATGAAGAAGAATGTTCAACTATATAATGGACTCTTTTAGTATTTTATTATTAATATATTTATCTACTTGTTAACCTTCAACATTTCTTTTATTTTTATATATATGCTAAATTTTAAAATTATAAATATTATCTGAAATTGAATATAATTAAATAAATTATAAATTTCTTTGTTTAATATCATATCAAATTCTACAATGTTCTAAGATATCATCTTCATGCCATTATGGCATAGAATAACAATTAGTAAGATTTGATATTTGTTTTACAGTGTACATAAATATAGACATCAAAATGTACAAAAGGGAACCAATAGCAAGTGCAATGGTTTTGATTGTACTTGGCTTGCCAGCATTAAAATAGTTCCAATATAATTTCTATCATTGTCATAATTTATTTCACTATCAGTGCAAGAAAAAATAAAACAAAAATAAAACAGTATGTCTTTTTAAATCTTACAAAATTTAAACATTCTTTTGGAGTTGTTAGTCCTCAACTATGTTAACTTCAATGTTTCTATTAGTTTTTAGTCTACAAATGTAACAATATAATAGCAAGAAAAACAAAAAAATATATTATTATTATTATTTTTTATTTTTTTTGTGTAAATCAAATCCATGCTATATGTCAAAAAAATTACAACACAAGACTCAAAATTGGATTCTACCTATGAATATGTACTAGAATTAATGATTGGCCTTTATTGGACTTCATCAAAGTCCTACATCTTAGTAATTGTGACGAACATAACCAATATATTTTGTTGTAGATGTTTTGAGAGCTATGTATAGCTACAACTACTGGAGAGTGTTTGGATGCTATACACAAATTTATTGATATCTTTAACCAGATTGCAATGTTTTACCTTGTGAATAGTCCATAGTGGTTGAGAATATATGGAGTAATCTCACCTCTGTCCTTGAACCAGCTCTGTGTTAATTAGTTCGTGTAGCATAAAAAAGGAGTTTTCTTACACACTAACTTTAGACCGAGAACTTCTCATCACACAGCAGCTCATGAAGCAAGTCATATTGTGCAGTTCAAGCTTGTCGCCATTTTTATTCAATTCATGTGGTAGATATTTAAGATGACTTTTGAACTTCACTGAAACCCGAGATGCTTATAAGTGAGTTGATAACAAACGCGAAGACAGGTTGTTGCGTTCATCAAGATAGAACGATCTTCGAAAAATTTGTTCTCTAACGGGACATCATATTCTTACAAACACCGTCGCCCTGTATTTCCTTCGACACACTCTGATTGGATGCCTCAAAGTTTTCTTCACTCTAATTCCTCTTGTGCAGCTTTGACTTTCTAGAACTTTCCACGTGTTCTTAACAGTGATCACTTACCTTTGACACTCGTTCTCGTGGAGCTCAACGTACATGGGCATATTGCGTCCTCTTGAGAGGAATGTCAGTAGTAGTTCATTTGCTAGAATGTTGAGTGCATATGAAGAGTATTGTACTCTGTAAGCAAATTTAGCATGTGTTCCCAAGAAGGTACCGACTCTTAAGACCTTTTTCCTCCAAAGGTATTTCGACTGACGCTTTGAGCTGATGATTCGTAAAGCATGGTTCACTCGTTTAGAACGAACCAAGGGGTACAGACAATGAAAAAAAAAAAAAAAAAAAAAAAAAAACATAAATAATGAAAACGGCTAGCAGAAAGCTCGTGCCATGTAAACCCAAATTATCCTAAGAGATTTCCATTGTTTTTGAAATCTTTCTACCACTGATGATTTCAAAGTTATCGGAGAAGCCAGCATACAATGAACAAATTTAGCATTTACAATGCAACTGATCAACACTCGCCAGCTTTGGACTCAAAAACTTTCTCATGCTGCACTCTACCGCAAGCTGCTGTACCAACATCACCTCATAAAAGGTGACGTGGATCCAGCTACCCACCAAAGTTGCTCAATAGGGGGCCTTCACCTTGATACATCAACATCTACAAGAATTTCCATCGCTCTTAACCCTGGGTACACGAGACAGGAAGAAAATGTGTTTAAGTGAACTGCTGATGATATAAAGAATTCTAGCATGGTACCTATCCTTCGAACATCAGCGCCAGAAATTCTACTGCCTCGTAGTTACTTCTTCAAATTAAAGAAGTATTAAAACCGGAACAAAAGAGATCAGGATATTAACAATCCAGGTACAGATCAAGACGGGGAGAAAAGTACCTCTTCCATTTCCGTAGTCTCTTCTGTCTCCTGAGTATTTGGCGGACCGTCACTGTTGGTGTCTGTTACAGGCTTACCTGAAGTATCATTCCCGGGTAGCACAATATCCGAGGGCAATTGTCCTAGCTTTAGCGCCTGCAGAAGATAATTTCGATTTCAATGTATGCACAACAAACTTGTAAAACCCACGAAGTTGAGCGAAAAGTTGCATACAACATAAAAATGTTGCACTGAAGGAATTAGTGATTTCAGTTTCCAAAAATGGATTTCCCAAACAGTGCTACCTTTTCAAGCCTGGCAACTTCTTCAAGTGTCTGTGAATTTGCGATGGCAGTCTGAATCACCACAAAAGAGAACGTTATCAGAAACACAAATATAAATATGCAATTCCATGATAACAGCAAACAATAAACAAGACGCCACTTGACCTAAAATGATAACTGCTTTCCAACAAGTCTAACCCATTCATCATACACACAATGCAAGGTGTTGCTAGAAAACCACCTCTGCATTTCGCAAAATCTATAATTGTGGATAGAAGGAAACAATTAATCCGAGACTTGACTTTAAAATTACAATACCTTGATAGCTATGATCTGCTCTGGAGTTGGCCCTTTTCGAGAAGGTTCCTCCGCTTCAGGAGGGATAGTCTCAGGAACATCATCACTAGGTATTTCCCCAGGAACAAAAGTTTTTGCCGGGGGAGGAGGCGGGATTTCGGCAGGTCGACCATTTTCGGCTGCAAACAGCTTCTTAGCTTCTTGCTTTTCCTGGAGAACAAAAAATATAACTAGTAAAAAAGTTGGGAACAGATTTGACGAAACTACTTAACGATCAGAAGTCAATTTCTAGCGAGAAAGTGAACATGGTTGACCGTATTTAAGACATATCCATTTACGACAGACCAAGAATCCTCAGAGTGCTGATTCCAAAACAAGCTCCATCACCCTCCAGCTGAGGAACTAAATTCCGACAAAAAAGTTCCCTGCACTCCACACAATAAGTGACTCTAATCAAATTAACTCACCTCATTATTCCCTTCGTTCAATCGACTTGACAAACACAAGGCCAAACGCCTCCATGTACTGCTGAAGTGAGGTAACTACTCCAATCAGAAGATGAAAATCGATGCTTCGTATGTACCTTTAGCTTCACTTTCTTGAAGTCGAGAAGCCTGAGCTTGGGAAGCTTGTGTATCAAATACAACCGATAGTTCGGCCTTTTCGTGACGACGTTATCCAGAAGGCACAAATTCTGCAGATTCACAAGTGTCCGAAGATGGTCAAGGTCCACCAGATTTGAAAGCCGATTGTTTGTAAGCACCAATGTCTCCAGCTTTGGTAATGCCGCTGCACAACCACAACTTTCAGAACACTTATTAAGAGCATTCATGTTTATTAATTACTCCTGTGCACTGAGAAGGATACCTCGCAACCCAAACGTATGGATCATAGAATCACAATCCTTGAAAGAAAAAAAACTCTGTAGGTTATATTACTTGGAGTCTAAACATAGATATCCGTTTCCTATGAAAATGGACCATGAAAGATTCCCAAAAAGATCATGGCGTGAATTGCTGTTAATCTTGTTTCAATGAGGATGCTTTCAAATAAGCACGATGGGAGTGAATAGGTCCACACAAGAATTTCTCCCACATGTGCACATGCAATTCGAGCACATTGACAAGCACTAGATTTGATAATTTCACATCAAGAACATAACAATTCATTAACTGAAATTAGAGTTAAGACTTCTATTTTTAACACCAAGCACAAAAGCACATTCTCAATTATACTCACGCTTAGAGAAATTGAGACTGACTGTCGGATTACAGAATTACAATTTATATTTTGCTCAGCAGAGCACAGTATTAACGTTCATCCAAGCAGTTTGACATAGGTCTGAGATAGAAATGGACTCAAAATCACATCTTACTACATAGACATCAAGTTCAGGAAAATACCTCCGATATTAGAATTGATGCGTGCTATTCTATTGTTGTTCACAAGCAGGGTAGTAAGACGCTTCAGATGTGGAAAGCCCTCAAGCTTCACAATCTCGTTATCTGATAGGTCGATGCTAGCATATTGGTCCTGAAATTACAATTGAACAATGAATGCACAGTCCCCAAAAGAGTTTTCAAAAAAATAAAACAGAATTACTTGAACAACGTAATAAATCATAGACATTCGCGAATCAAAATCATATCATCCAGACATACTAGTTTGACAAGAACCCTAAAAATCCCAAAATCCAATGACCCAAGCACTGCAATCCAGATCTCGCACCTCTGTAGCTCCAAGATTTTCGATAACTCCAATCTTATTGCCTGAATAGTCCAAGACAAAAATCGTCATAAATTGAATGATGTGACAGGGGTTGTCGACAAGGAAGCCATATACAGGAATCTTCGACCTTACCTAATCAAAGTTCATGAATTAAAGCAAATGCTTTACAGAATAAATTTAAAGTTGGCACATCCGAAGGAAAGGGAACTGCTTGGAGTTACGTTCATTAAGAGGATAAAAATGTCTTAAATTCTTGGTGGTATAGGAGGAAAAACTGTTATTAAACATAGTACAATTACTAGGAGCTAAGAAAACAAGTTTACCAATACAAATACAATATGGTGATTAAGAACACAGCGTTATTAAAAACGCGACTAATGTGGTAAAAAAAAAAGAAAAAAAAAAAGAAAAAAAAAAGAAAAAAGAAAAATCAAATTTCTACAATCCTGATTACCTTAAAATACTACTGCAAATACTTGACGTGAAAGTTATTTTGAGGGAATCAGGAGTGTCTTGCAGTAGTATTCTCAAGCCACATCAACTGATTTAAAAGCACATAACTGGTGAGATGTCATGCTGGATTCGGATACTCACGTGAGCCAAGCCCTTGACAATGGAAAAAACCTTTAAAAACCCTGAAGTAAAAGGGAGCAAAAATAGGGACTGGACAATACCGCGAAGATCGAGCTCCCTTTCTCGAACTGCATTGAAGTACTGAGACGACCGTAGAATCAAATCTGCAGTTAATCTCACCATCGCGCTCCCTCAGAAATGGCCCCGCAAAGTAGGCGCGTATTGATCAAGTGGACAAAAACCCTACTACTTAGTCCACCCGTGCAAATAATTCTAACTAAATCCTCAATTGCCCTTGATATTGATACACTCAAAAGGAGTTGTAGCTCCCTCTGCCATTCCGCTCATTCACCATTCCGCACTGCTTCAATCACTCCCTCGTATGGAACCCTCCCCGAACTCAACTCCTCCACCTATCTTCCAACAAATTTAACCAAACTAAGCCGCAGGTTGGAAAATAAACTTTCCCAAGAGGAGTATTGTGAGAGAAATCGAAACAAACTCCAGATACAAACAACCAGCAAGGCAGCTCCTAAACCGTCGAGGAAAGAATGCCAACAAACAAACCCCTCAAAAAAAAATTGCCAATAGAGCTGCAAAACGAAGCCAAGCAGCGAATGGAAGCGCAGGCGAGAAGGGGAGCAGAGCAAAGGTAGAGAGAATGCAGACCAGAAGTACCGTGCGGAGCGAGCTTACGCGTGAGGCAGAGCCACGGGGATGGCGAGCACGCTTGTGAGGCTCATGTCCAAGCGTAGAACCCTAAACCGAAAAACTTGAGAGCATGGAACCAACACCCGGACCGAGAATAGGCTTAAGTGTGAATGGGACCAGCTACAAATGGATGTAATTTGAATGAAACAAGCCACATAAAAACATGCAACATAGAATCATAGAAACATACATAGGGAGATTTTTCTAAAATTGAAGCATTTTTTTGGTACAAAAATGTAATTAAAAACCATACTTAATAAAAAAAGAAAAACATTATTAATGATGCAAATCCTCAACAAAACAAATTTTTAAAATATAACTTTCAATTTATTACCTTTGATAAAGTGATTTGATATTTTATGCTTTGAAGTTATAGATAAGAATAAACTAAGTTTCCAATACACATTCTATGAGGATGTATATTTTAGTGTTCCATATAGTGCATTGTGGTGTGCAATGCAAGTTCAAGACAACTTATAATGACATTATCAAAATCCACAATGACTTGTGATGGGTGACAAGTTGTGGTAGCAGTAGCAATATATATATATATATATATATATATATATAACACCCTCAATAAATTAAATATATATATATATATATATAGTATTTTAAAATTACTTGCTGGAGGGAAAAATGCACATTACTGTCATAGAATGTGACTTAATATAAATACTGTGTTGAAATATTGTCAATAAAACTGAAATATAAAAATCGCATAGAAGAATATGATAAATCAATTAGTACAAATATAGACATATCCAATATTTAGTAAAAATATTTATTTAAAAAAATTAAAATTATATTATTAATTATGATTATTCATATTTTGAAAAGTGAAGAAACTTTTAATGATTTGATTGTATAATTTATAAATCAATAAACAAAAAATTCATGAGTTATCATGTACTTAATGCACGAAGGTAATTCGTTTAATATTTTTCTAAGGCCTGCTTGGACTTCCTTTTTATCTGTAGAAAATACAGAGTGACTGAATCCTACTCAAGTTTGCATGCACATGCAAATCTCATGTTTGAACCACAGTTCGTAGCAGAGTAATAAGCGTCAAATAAAAGTGGTTTATACAAGATAAAATTCGCATAATTCATAAACCTCATGTTGTCAATTATTATTCTTTCTAAAATTATTAACTGAATATTGCACAAATTTTGTCATTGACACACAAGTTTTGTGTGCTCAAATTCTAGTACAATCTATATAATTGTTTGATGTTCTTGGCAAGTCTCTGTCGTACTTAACACTGCGGAGATCCAGCATAGCAATTTTCTCTGCAAAGGTTTTTCAAACAAACGCTACAGCTATGCGAGTTAGTACCTATGATATCATAAAGTTCAGATGTGCTGATACTGCAAATTAGAAGCCCAATTCATTCGAAAAGCTAGGCAGATTGGAGATTCCAAATTGCACGACTTCAGAGCATAACACAATTCCATGCATCATGGATTTTTAACAAAACAACAGTAAATATTAAGTACTTGAGCATCGCCGATGATGATGAAAACCAACACATCTCAGAAAAATATTTTACACTTGTGAACTAAAGCCGTCCAACGGCGTTGATTCCTTCACTGCCAAGTGCTTTGTCAGAGTCAAAAACCTCACTTTCTCAACTGGCTCACTTCTCTGACCTGTGACAAGGACATTGTTAGACTGCAGTTGTGCATTGCCGTTACATGCAACACAAGCGCAACCACCTCCAAATAGCGCGTACGAGATGTGTAAACTTCGTACACGAAAATGAATTATTCTTCGCATACAGTTGCAGTAAGACATATAATACCTTGACCATCGGATGAAGTATCAAAATAGTCTTTATGCTCCGTCATTTACAGACATTATTTAATGTAATCACAATGCAGAGGATTCCTAGCAATTTACAGTGTTATGAAGAGCATCTAGTAAACTAAAGTCTTCTTCCTGATTCAATTGAAGCAGCCATAAAACAGGAAAGTAGAGATGTCAGTACAAGTAGAATTTTTCTCGAGGAGTTGGACCATTGGGGTTGTGAGCCTCAATATCAACATGACGAATGCCTGGAACCAGTTTCTGAATATCCTTCTCAAGTCGGTCCACTTCACAACCAACTGCCGACACCACTTCCTCACCTGTACAGCAATCACAAACATGAGTACAAACTAACACGCAGAAAAATGAATTCCCCCAGAAAGCAATGAGTTTAGGCTTGGCTTTTTTGAAGCAGATCATCTGCAGCATCTGCCTCAACTTCCTCTGAAGATTACCCAATACGTAAGGAACTGAGAAAGATACTCGACAACGTGTGACGGATCCAGTACAATCTAAAACCTAAACGTTCTGATCTCAGATTCACAGAGTTACACTGAACAGAAAATGGAGATAACACGAATTAAACCTGACCTAGCCTCAAGTCCTAGTTTCTGCATCATGAACTAATGGACACCACAGAAGCCTCATCAAAGACTGAATCTCTTAGAGAAAAATGTATTGATATTTTGGTTCCTCTTATGTGTTGTGTAATAAGCGACGTAAACATCAACTGATAGTTTCATTTGCTATGCAGAAAGCATTAAAAAACATCACATACTAAGAAATATCTGAGCTATTTACTTACCGTACTCCGCCATCACGCGGTCAAGAACACTTCCATCAGAGTTACGCACAGCCTTGCGAAACTGCACAACACAGGCCACCTGAGTATTATTGCGTGAAGCTGAAGATAACAATTATTCAGTCTAAACCTTACAAACGGAGACAGACCTTCTTGAGCAGAAATTCTCAGTGTTCATAAAAAGTAAGAGAAATTTAAAGATATCTAAAATGATGAAAATAAACTCTACCAGATTCGAAGGAGAAATTGAAAAACTTACTTCTTCCATCCAGTTGTCGCGACCCACACGTTGCAAATAATTTTGTACAATTACAACACCATTGAAATCTGTACACAATTTCCAAGTTAGATTAATTACTGCAGCTCCAGTAAACGTTGTCCGCAAATCATATGATCATAAGATACCTTGAAGGATAGTACTTAGAATGATTTCTCCATTGATACCACATATTCTGCAATTCTACAACAATGCTACATTTTGAAGAAAAAGATCCAGAACACTTCAAATGGCATTCTATAGTTTAGGATTCTAATCAAGTCTCGATTGGGAAAGAAAAAGAGAAAGAAAAAGAAAAAGAAATAAATAAATAAATAAATAAAATAAAGAAAAGAGAATGGTTGTATGATGAGAAAATACCAATTTCGGCTTTGAATCTGTACTCTCCAGGTCCTATCACTTCACTTTTGCAGTCATACAATCCTTCAACAACCTGACCAACATGAACATACCTGCTTTTAGAACAACTACCTCAAAGGACATACTTCATCCACCCGTGTAAAAACGACCGATTAACAAATAGAGGGTTCAAACGAGTAACAGAAGTGAAGGGGTGATGCGGAAATCACAGTTCGCTACGTGAAGTTCACACCACGATACGATGTTGACGGAGAAAAAAATAAAATAAAATAAAGGGTTCAAAAAAGAAGATGCGCACAGGGTCAGCAATGAGAAGGTTAATTATGCGCCGCATCTCCACGTCATCGATAGATCGACCCAGCAGTGCTTGTCTATTCCGTTGAATCAAAAAAAGGGCAACCTGTACGCAGAACGCGACAGCTTTAAGATCATATCATATGCATAGTAGAAATAAGGGAATTATAGTCTCCAGAAAACAGCCTCACAAGGGGAATAGATGGACTTCATGGGTATTTGGTGGATAAGTACTGATGCAAATGCAAATTGTAAAAAAGATGCAACAACAGCTACAGTACAACTCCGAGGAGGTTCTTACCCCACCGAGCAAGCCACCTACAACTATCGAACCAAGTGCATCCCACATTGGGTTTCCAGTTATCTCAGCAGCTGTAAGAGCAATACCAGCGATTCCCAGTCCCGCACATGCTGCTCCATCCTGTTGATATAACACAACAAACATATATCAAAATCTAATTTCAAAACCGAGGTCTCCCGACGTTCACATATATCCTCACAATCCCAGTTCAACATTATATACATATATATTCAGAATCAACTCAAATGCCTAATATAAAACGGTAGAAATTTCATTATATTTCAGCGTAAATTGGTATAAAAGGTTAAAACGCAGAAAACCTCCATCAACACAGCAACTGAAGTTGGGTCATGGCCACGCCAAAGATATTCTCGAAGAGACATCCCTTCAGCAGCCGCTCCTTTCTTTACGGCGCCGTACGCAACGTACAATGATGCTCCTGGATAAGCAAAGGAAAGAGAATCCATCACAGAACTGATAATCACCTGCGTTTATACCAAAAGATTTGTAGAAAAAAAAAAAAAAAAAAAAAAAAAAAAAAAAAAACGGCTATACAACAGGTACAAACATGCACAATATAAATGACTTTAAGAACTGGATGAAGGACCGCAAACTCACCTTCCATGATCATTGACCCAGTAAGAACCGCAGCTGCTATCGTAACATTTGACAAGGGCTGCAATCAGCAGACGTTGGATTTTAAATAAGTTGCCCCAAATTCAGCAATGACATTCAAAAACTGCTGTTCAACTGAGAAGCAATAAAGATTACAACAATGAATTTCAAAAATACTGTCACTGCATCGATTATCAATACCTCAGCGGTCGCTAAATTCTGCACGCCGTGTACGATGGTTGCACCACAGCCCAAACAGAAGATTCCAACGGCTGAAATTAGTGACCAGACAAATCGTTCTCTCGAATAGCCATACCTGCGAAAATATTAAGCTACATGTTAAGAGACCAAAATCAGCAAAAGGTATTTTAAGTGAATTTTTTCATTTCTTAGCGATACGAACTAGATAAAGAACTACTACTTGAATTATCAGACAGGGCCATTCAGGCAGCAATGGTCCGCAAGGCCCCGTGCAAAGTTTTATATGTTCTAATATAAATTTGCCAAGATTGGCAAACCTTCATTTGCATTCATGCTAATTATCACATTGAATCAAATCAACACTGTAAAATTCTCTCTACAGTTGTGTGTATCTGAAAAGGTTTTCAAACGTACGGATGAAGAGCATCTGGGGCACGACGGGAGCTGATTAGGCCATATGCAAGTAAACCCTAAGTCATCACATGCGACAGTAAGAGAAAGTTAGCTACACACGCACGAAGGGAGATACGCCAACAGCTATTATATGATGATATGAAGTTGTTAACTATATAATAGACAATGACTATATGATGTTACCTGGTTTGCCAAGTCTGCTGCTGAATGAACAGCCTCTGCCAGCATGACATGACTAGAAGTCATGAACCACACCCCAACTTTCATGGAGAACACCACAAAGTTGCACACAAGCGCTACCACAACGGCTCTTTGACTGCGCAAACACCTGAAAGTCAATTTCATTCCTATACTGAAGCACTTCAATCGTGCACATTGGCTACATAAAAAATAAAAATAAAATACAAACAGAATACACGATAGAGGCCTTCGAGAAGATTCTCAACTACATAACTGGTAAAGGACATTCAATTCAAACGTGGACGGGCTATCCGGACGTATTGGAATGAGAATAGGTATAACCTGTGGTCAACCACTGCAGGAGCGTTCCGTGCAACGTCCTGCGTAGCATCTGAGCTGTATACTTTCAAGCCAGCCAAGTAAATTGTATTATTTCGTGAGTCATTTTTCGAATTAGAATGTTAGTATATATGGTACGGTTTGGAAGAACATTAACACGACGTTGATTCCATCACACATCCTACACAACGTGCATCTGCCAAATAAGATCCTGTCTGTTGATATTCGGATTATGAAAAAAAAAAATTGTCTTTTCGAATACAAACTAAGTACATTGCATTCCAATAGATTGGTCACTACCATTCTATCCGCAACCGGTCCATCGTGGAAACACACCAACATTTGCCGACGTCCATGTGAAGATCTTTTAGGCAGGAAGGCATTGATAGAATAAGCATTTAGATAATTCATACGTTACCCAGAAAAAAAAGAATGATGTAGCGATGCCGGGGAGAAGAAGCTTACGTCTAGTGCACGAAGAACTGGACAGAATGCTATTCAACAATTTGGGCCCAGAAAAGTGCCGCCTCAACCCTCGCGATTGTCGATTCGAGTGCAAGCTCCACTGCAGAGCTGTTTCGGAGTCCTGTGGTATTCGTCCAGTACAGCTCATTTGTGGCATTATCTGGTATAAGCTAAGATCAATACCAACATGGTTGAGAGTACTTTCCATAAGTCTGTTTCCAATGCTAGTTTGGAATGCCAATCCTGCTCGCTCCTCGGACACTCTGTTCGCGTGGACTCCTAACTCCCAATCCCAGATGCGAGATGCTCCATTTCCAATATTCTTCCGAATCGTAGCACGAGCTGATGGCCCGGTTTCGTTAACTTCTTCAGATACAATAGGGATCCTCTCATCATTCCAAGACGAAAGCGACTTGCCAGGAATAAAACCTTCGAAGTTCCCTTCTTTCTTGTTACGATGATCATCCCTGTCAGAATAACTGGAAATCGCTGCCGGAATGAAATTCCTCTCCACTTTGGATAGAGAGACCCGCGTATTAGGAATCGGGTCAGAATGGTTAACCGGAACAGATGTTGGCTGCACCTGATTTGAAACAGAGGCTGAGCTCGGGAGTAGACATTGTACACTCTTGCTAGACCTCGAAGTTGCAAGCGAAAACTGCACCAAAGAGCTGCAATGTGCTACACCTAGCCCTGACCGTAGGCCATGCCCAGAGTCTCCTAAAAGTGTCTTTTGCAAAGATTGCACAGAGCGTTGGTGAAGAAAATTGTAATTATGAACGAGGGGCCCTTGATTAGCTTCAAGGGCAGCAACTGGAGATGCATAATTGAATATCGCAGCTGATGCATTTCTATAGCGTGGCCAAATTTTCCGATGGAAAATGACTTTCCGCATTAAAAGATACAAACATAAACTGCTGCAATAGCAATTCTACTTCACTTAATGACTGAAAACGACGTCAAAAGCTCCCGAAATACTGTTAAGAGCATAATTTAAAGTGCCTCATTCAATGAACTCACGACTGGCAATGTGGACGCTAAACAGTGATCAGCTCACGAGCTAATGCAGAGTGCAAACGCAAGTGTATGAATCACGACATAAATGCCTTACTACCATTCCTACAAAATTCCTCGGCAATGCTCTGCACAAAAGCTAGCGTTGACCTAAAAATTAACTCTTCCTATCAACCAACTCGGCAAATCCCGATCAAAGCTGAAACCCTAAGCAACTCACATTCTCTTCCAAACACTCCTTTCAAAGACAATGAGAAAAGACCCTTCTTAGGTATGCACCAGTTCTCGAATCAATTCAACAGCCCGAAACAAATACGCGAAGCACTAGACCAAAAAAAAAAACTGCAACCCTGGACTATAACCGCAGGACACGAGCGCCTTTCGCACCACCAAGAGCTCAAGTCTGGGAGGAAATTAGTGAGGCAACTACTGGTGTGGGAAGGAGAGGAAGGAGTCGCGACGCGTCGGCGCTTGGAAATTGATCCTGTGCACCGACGAAGATGATGCCGATGCAATGCTCTGTGCAAACGACGGACTCATCGGCTAGGCATATGCTGCGACCTAGACTGATTCTCTTGAGGGCACTCGACAGATACTCCGAGAGAAGTGACACAAGGTGTATTCCTACGATTGGTTCTGGGATTGGCTTCCACCCAATCTGCGGATCAACGAGATTGTTGGCATGACGACGAACGAACGAGCGAGCGAGCGGGCGAACGAACGATGTTCTCGACGGCAGGCTCCCCTCCTCTGTCCTTCCGCTGGTGCCCTACACGCATGTATCCTCAGCTTATGTGAACAGAGGATATTTGTAGTCCTGAAGAAGGTTGAAATGATAATCAGTAATTTATTTACTTATCTTTATTTAATATTTAATATTTTATAAACTGTACTCACAAAATAGGTCTTCCATAGGATGCTGCTTCTATTTAACCGCATATCTATACAACTTCTTCCAAATATATATATATATATATATATATAATGTTTTAATAGTAACTAAATAAAATGAACATGGCTGATTGTGGAGTAGAGTTTTTAAAACTATATATATATATATATATATATATATATAATCGTCACTACAAAAAGGATATTTGTAATTAGAAGTTTATAATTATTTACATACCTTTAATTTCTCGCAATTGTATTTGTAATAATTATGGTAAAGAAAATGATGTGAGAGTTTCTATTTATATACAAAGTGAATATGCAAGAAGATGAATGGAACAATTAGTCAATTATGGAAATGTGATTATTGAGGTGATTAGCTCGAGGTATAGGAAGTCGACAATCCTCTTGATCATTTCCTTGTGGAGTGTTATTTAGGCGTTCAGTGATTGTTGCACTTACAATTTTGTAGTGATTGTCTGAAGATTTTCTTTTTCTTTTTTTGCAGATTGACCTCGGGTAATAGGGCAAGAGCTTAAGAGAGTTTTTTTGTTTTTTGGTGCTTACAGTTTTTTATTTTTTTGATTTATTTTTTTGATTTATTTTTTTGATTTTTGATTTTGCTAGTTAGGACTTGGAACTTATTGAGAATGTTTTAGGAAAAGAGAGACAATAGTAGCTAGAAGTAATATGCACACATATGTAAACACATACTCAAAAAGTGAGTTTATTGATAAGGTTATATCTCTTATACAAAGAAAAAGGGAGGAGATAAACAATTTCTCCTTACTACATTCCAAACACTATAGCTATAATAAATAGTATGGAGAGTATCGGCTACATTTAATGCTCTCAACACTCTTCCTTACTCATCATAATATTTATATGCATAGAATTATAATCTATACTTTTTTGTAATCTTATAAGATCAACAACTGTTGTCACATTAAAATCTTATCTAAGATAATCTTATTATATTTAAAGACAAAACCATAGATAAAAGAAAAAGAGTACAATATTATTTGAAGAATTTATTAACTTTATTGCTCAAGAAAAGTAAGTCCGCATATCAATGCCATAAGTAAGTTGGCAATAGTTGCACAAAGAAAGAGCTTTGATAAATAGATCAGCAAGGTTATTTGTAAATTTAATTTTTTGATTTTAAGTACTTCATCAATAACCAAGTCATGGATATAACTAAAATACTTTGAATCAATATGCTTTATCATTTCTCCTTTAATGAAACTAATTTGTATCTGTGTAAGACAAGTGCTATTATTTTCATACAAGATAGTTAGAGAATCATCATATGAAAGTCCATAGGTTGGCTGAATGAATTTATCAATTGATCGCAATCAAATGTATTCCTAAGATTCTTCATATATTGCAATAATTTTTATATGGTTGGATGAAGTTACAGTTATAGTTTATTTCATTAATTTTCATGATATTGCAGCTCTATGTCTTAAGAATATATAGCCTATTTGAGGTAGTTGTTGAAATATCAAATTTATATCCTACATGAGAATATTCAACCAAGTTTGGATTTGTAGATCGTGAGTAGTATAATCTCAAATCTTTAGTACATTTTAAATAACGTAGTAAATATTTGATGCCATTTTCAATGTCATAATATTGGACTTGCATTGTGTCTTGCAAGAATACTAATTACGAATGTAATATTTGGTTTTGAATATGTTGCTAAATATAAATGTATTCCAATTGCTGCAAGATATGGAAATTGCTCTCATAATATTTCATCTTCTTCTCTACATAAACGGTTTGGATTATGACTATTATAACTACATTCAATCATTGGTGTGGATAACGAAAAAGCATCAATCATATTGAATCTTTGTAAGATTCATCTAACATATGTTAGTTGGTAAAAAAAAATACTACCATCTATGAGATGCATAATCTGAAGATCAATACAAAAAGTTATTTTTCCTAGCATTTTCATCTCAAATTCATATATAAGTAGGTTAGTAGCTACAACTCATGTAGATCTAGTACCTACTAGGTTAAGATCATCAACATATACAATGATGATCACAAAACTAAGTTTATGTTATTTGATAAATGAATAAGGACTTAGTGGATCACTAACAAACTTATTTATAATTAAATAAACTTGGAGACATTGATACCACATGCGTCTAAATTGTTTTAGACTATATAGGATCTTTTGTAATTTAATATGACATTATCATCCTAGAGTAGGTGCATTTTGAGTTTGTGTTTCCAAACTAGGTGGAAATTTCATATAAATATCTGTATCAAGTGAACTATACAAATATATAGATACTACATCCATAAAACTATCACAAAAATACACATATAAATCAATAATAACTTATATGATTTAGATAAAAGTAAATAAAAGAAGGTTAATTCCATAAAATTATCTATATAAGCTTTATAGACACTGCTTTGACTTTATAGGCGTCTTTAATTGACTTTATAGATTAGAAATATGATCAACAAGTTGGACATATGCCATATATGTTGGTAGTTTGAAGAACAAACTAACTATGTAACCCACATGTAAAAAACTTGCCTTATAAACTAAGGCATGTGTCTTACAAAACCAAGACATGTTAGAGGTCCTATAGAACATTATTACATAGCTCCTAATTAGATAATATATATAGAGACAAGAGTGAAGTCTTCTTCACTCTTATCAATTCTTTTCTTGCTTCTAATCTAGATTTAAGAGTCTCTAGTTTCCTTGTCTTTTGGCAATAGCCATTCCATTTTCTTTTTAATATACATATTACTTTATTGTTATTTTGTTACTTTTCTTTTAACACAAATTTTTCAGGTTTATGCATCTTCTTCGAGTTCATGTCCTTGATAGAGATACATTTCAAGGGTGGCATGAACTTCCATTCCAATAATATATCAAAATGTAATTGAATCCATGACTAAAAAATATATAGATTTATAATCAATGTCAAATCGTTGAGTAAATCCTTGAGCATCAAGACAAGCTTTATAGCAAACTATTTGATCTTTAGTATCTTGCTTATGTACTAACACTATTTTATATTCCATAGGATGAGAAGTAAGAGTGTCCACAATTGGACCAAAGACTTTCATATTACATAAAGAAGCATATTTCTCCTCGATGGCAATTTTCTATTTTAACCAGTCAAAGTGATGCATAGCTTCTTGAATTGTTTTGATATTCATAATATTCTTTCTTATAAAAAAAAGAGCTTCTACCATCATGAATGTAAATAATTCATTTATTATAATAGATAGTCTATCCCAAAGGTCATTTATAGCACAATATAGAATAGATAATTTTGTATTCAACTTGATTTTATTCCTCCTAATCTTAAGATTTTCTATTGGATGAGGTGAAGGTATAATGTGTATGGACATATTGTCATTAATTGATGGTCCTATAGGTTTAGTAGAAACTTCCACAAAAACAATACCAAAATCACCACATGTTATAGCTTTCTTCTTTTGTGGTTGCTTATCTGGCTCATGAATCCTTTTGATTGCTGATGTTTTAAACTGAGGTATATTTCTTAGTGATAATGTAATGTGAGTGTATTTATTCTGAGCTTTATTAATTGAAATTCTTATAATCCAAGGTACATCATTGAAGCCATTAAGTGTTTCATTTGCAATCCGTTTTAGATACAAAATCTTTGCAACTTCACTTTTAGTCAAAGATATTTTAGGATCAGGATTCATTGTAAATATTTTTGGTACTCTAAATGTAAGCATTATATATATTTTTTTATTAAATATTCTTTCTTGAAGAGATGGAAATATGTTCTCTTTAAAATGAAAATTTTAAAAATGTGCTTATAATTATGTGCCAATTGATGGATCAATTATACAAATAATATTTGATCAATCAAAACCAACATATATGCCTTCTTGTCAATGAGCTGTGATGGTATGCCATTGAGGTTCTAGTACTCGAACCCAAGTACAGCAACCAAACATCTCTAGATGAAATATATTTGGAACACAACCTAAAATGAGGACTTGTGGTGTAATAATTTCAAGACAAGAAGGACATAGGCATATTAATGTTGCAGCATGTAAAATTATATGATCCCACATAGATGCATATAAAATTATATAAAGAAGGAGTGGTAAGGTAATGAATTCTATATGCTTTATAAATGACTCTGCAAGTTCATTTTGAGCATGTTCATATGGAATACAATATGTCAATTCAATCCTTGTTGTACTACCATAGTCTTCAAAGGACTTTAATATAAATTCTTTTGCATTATTTATACGCAATGTTTTGATAGTATAATCAAAAAAATATGCTTGAAAACAAATAAGCATAGATATAAGATTAGCAAATACCATGTTTCGAGATGATAATAATGAAACATATGATTGTTTATTTGATGCATGAATAAAGACCAAAAAATAACAAAATGGTCCAAATATTGGATTAATAGAACCACAAATATCACCATGCAATCTTTCAAGCATTGGAGGTAATTCTTGTAGAAGTTTTCAAATTAAAGGCCTAGCAATCATCTTGCTTTGCATACATGCATAACATAATTCCATAAAATTTGCATCTATAGATCTTAAATTATATCCAATTATAAATGGAATTAACTTTCAAAATAATGTAGATCTTGGATGTCCCAATCATCCATGCCAAAGAGAAATGTGACTCTCTGTCATAAATGATGTAAAATTAAATATAATAGGAGGCCAGATTGCAATCTAGTATAAACCATTTGTCACAATAAAGGTTTTTTTTACAATTTTATAGTACTCTTCAAGAATCAAAACCTCTTGTCCATCTAAAATTGCAATTGACATGTGATAATTATTGGCACATACATCTATGTAGCTAATCAAACTCAGAGATGCTAAGGGTACAAACATTGCATATTTATATTTTATGATAAAGTCCGCAAGTAATTTTACCATCATTTTTCCATCTTGAAAATAAAATTTATTTGTTCCAGCTATAGACATCAAATTTTTAGTTTGTCAAGTTGAAGATTTTTCAATAAAAAACCATCTATCTCATAAGATAGTATGTGTTGTTGCAAAATCAATGAGTGCATCATTTGATTCATTATTAGAAGTTTTATCATTCATATAAGTCTCTAAATCATCAATACCGATTGAATCCATGGACTCATCTATGGTATAAACTTCACAAGCCTCAGCTTGAAGTTTCTTATTTTCTTGGAACATTTTAACAAAGTATTCTGAAGTATGACACATATGCATCAAATATCCAATTATTACACACTTACAGCAAGAATACATCTTTGATTTTTATTTTCTATTAAAATAAATTATAGGACATTTATGCTTTTCATATGGGTGGAAATGGTCACGATCATGACTGACTTGGTACTTATGAGTATTTTTTTCATGTTTGTATAATTATTTTTTAGACTTTGGAATATTAAATGCACAAGATTTTGGAACCATGGTTCCAATAGGATAAGCTTCTGCATTACGTAAGAATAGCTCATTTTGTTTCTCCATAAGAAGTAGATAGGACATGAGATCAAGATGACTCTAAAATTTCATATTCCTATATTGTTGTTCAAGTACAGCAAATGCAGAAGGAAATGTAGAGAGAGTTTTCTCAATCATTTCTTCTTCAAAGATGCTTTGTTCATATAATCGTAGTTATGAAATAATTCAATACATTTCACTATTGAAAGCATTTAAATTTAAAAAATCCAAGGCATGTAAATATGTTCAATCATGATGTGCACATGGAAGGAAAATAGACTTTTGATGATCAAACCTAGATTTAAGATTCTTCCAAAACTTGGCTGGATCTTCCATTTTAAAATATTGATGTTATAATGCATGTACAAGATGTCAATAAAGGAAAAGAAGTGCTTTTCAACAAATAGCAATAAGAATTGAAGTATTTATAATAGGAGATTCTTCAAACAAAATTGCATCCAATAGTTGTTCAACAAATAAATTTACTTTGCCATTTTTGTCCATAATAGATAGTTGTTTCCATCACTAGCCAATGGTAGAAATAGAAGAGCTTGAAAATGTTGGGATGTAGTGGTGATAGTTGGAAATATAGTAGAAGTAGTTGAGGTTGTTGAAGCACTCATTATAAATAAATCTGTGAATAAAAATACAAGTTCAAGTAGAAAAGGTTGAGTATAATGCACCTTAAAATGTAAAGCCAAATAGAATGATAAAGTTGAAACTTGAAATCAAAAAAGTTAAAAAAAATTAAGATTTTTTATTTTTTATTTTTATTTTTTATGTAAACAAAAATAAAGTATGCAATGGACTATAGCAAGGTGCGGCAATTTGTTGCAAGAGTACAATAGCAGCAACACATGACAGCAACAGCAACAACAATAACATAAGACAACAACAACAACGATAGAAGAAGAAGAAAAAAATTGATAAGAAAACAAAGGATAAAGTGCACATAAGTTTTAAAAAACCAAGGCTAGAGTATAAGAGCAATTGTGCTAATAATGTATTGAGAATGTTTTAGAGTAAGAGAGACAAAATCAGCTAGAAGTAATATGCATACATATATAAATACACACACAAGAAGTGAGTTTATTGATAGAGTTATATCTCGTATACAAAGAGAAGGGGAGAAGATAAACAATGTCTCCTTATTACATTCCAAACACTACGAAGAGAGCTGGCTACATTTAATGCTCTCAACAATGACGAGAGCTGGATACATTTAATACTCTCAACAGAACTATCAGGCCCACCCCCGAGCTGTGTAGGCCCACTTCCGGCCTGTTGCCCCTGCGACTGCGCAGTCGCATTCTGCTCCCTGCTCCTCAGCCTCTACATCCATCTCTCGGTACATAGTTGGTAGGCTCTGGCCGCGTGTAAGTGGTAGGAGGAGATGCTCGTCGTCGAGGGGTGCTTCATGATCGCGGCCACGGGTATGATTGCGTTTTCGGGCGCCAATCGCAATTTCGTGTTTGTGCTTGATTTGGTCGTGCGTGAGAGGTTATGCTTTGTGCTTGATTTGGTCGTGCGTGAGAGGTTATGCTTTGTGCTTGTGTCATCCATGCCTTTCTCTATAGAGAATTCCGTTTGGCTGGAGCTGGAGTTGAGAAGGATTTAGTACTCGTGAATAGGTCAAGTGCCACTCGACAATGAATCAATTCTCGGGGTGGATGTTGAGAGAAAGAACTGCGAGGGGGCGAGACAGTGGTAGAATGCTGTCTGGTTTTAAAAACAAGATGTGAGAGATGGAATGGTCGCGGTCGACTTGTTCCCGAGGATTTTTCAGCTGACAATCGGTCTCAGGACTTTTCTGTGGTGGAATTCAATAGGGGCGTGTGGAGTTCCGGGCGCAAGGATGCGATGGTGATGTTCAGGCTTTCGATGATTCGAAAAGACCCGATGAATTGTGGAGAGCTTACGCCTTTGGCGACGAACTTCCCACGCAAGTCGATGCTGTTACCCAAGGCACGCAGATTGTACAAACGGAGTACAAAGCGACTCCAGATTTAGATTATTTACAGGTCAGTGCTCTTACCTCTTTTGCATCCGATCTGTGAAAGCTCCGTTCTCTTTCTAGAAATCACAAGTTGTAGGTAAAAAATTCATTCATCAGCAGAGAGTGTCAATGTACACTTGCAGTTTGTAAATTGGATTTCTATTTGTATGTGACGAAATTTCTTCTTTGTTTATGTTTATTTAGGTAGGTTCTATTTTGCAGCACCCTCATTCATGTGCTTTGTTTTCAGGAACTCCTAGCTATTCAACAGAATGGACCAAGGGCAATCGGGTTTTTCGGTACTCGGAACATGGGGTTTATGCACCAGCAACTTATTGAAATTCTCAGCTATGCAATGGTAATCGCGGTGAGTATGCATGTCCTACTGTTGTTTATGTATTATTTCCATTTTACGAATGTTTCTTTACCTATGTGGAGTTCCCTACTTGAGGATTCAATGGGAGAGAAGTGCGACTGTTTTACCTCAAGCTTTCAAGGTCCTGTTATATTTCTGGCTTAAAAGTGTGGGGAGTATTGTGCATAATGAAATTGCTTTGACGCCCATTTTGCATGTTGTTGCATCCCAGGTTAAAAATGTTTTGGAAATGCCTCACAATGACCACTTGCCGCTAATTGAGGCTAGCAGGTAATCGTGTTTCAGATTGTCTTAGATTCTGAGTGCGCTAATCCCTTAGTTCTGTTTCATTAGGTACAGAGGATCATAATTATTTTCATAATTGCCCACAGGAAGACAAACTTTGGCAACATGTGCGATTCCTACTTTTTGATATGCAGTAATATGATATTAAACCAGTGACGATTTTATCACCTGCTGACTACTTTAATTGGTTTGTTTGCAGACTTTGTAACATGGACATTTTATCGTATGTGCAACAAGTCATTTGCTTTGCTTTTTCATGACAGCAAGTTGTTAATGGAGACCTGCAGTGAAGCCAAGAGTATGCGGAAAATTGTCACTCTCTTCTACTTAAAGGAACTCAAATATATGATTAAGCTCATTCAAAAGCTTTTGTTTAGATAGTAAACTTGTAGAAGATAGCCAATTGTTTATTCAAGTGTATGAAGATCCGATGTTTGGTAAACCTTGTAGGGTTATCAGGAGGCGTTCCATGCTTCTAGAATCACCATTTTTTTTTTTTTTTTTTTTTTTGTTTTCCAATTGCTAAGAAATAAAATGGTATATGTTAAGGAATGTCCGAAGTTTTCAACGTCTCACAGCATCTAGCATGGAGACTCAATTGTTTTCGTCTGCGAATTCTTGGAATTTTCAGTCTGTATGATTTCAAAGTGTTTCTGCACTGATAGCAATAATTAAAAAACAAAATGTAGCTCTGAGAGCGCTTTCATGTAGTAACCCTATCTGTCTTTCCCTGCACTGTGAACAGATATTTAGCGTTTCACATCAAAGTATACTTGCTGCTGTTCTGAGCAGTATCGACCTTTCTTGACTTGGGCGTATGTTTTGGAAAATCTTGAGACAGCTTTCTTACAGTTAATTGTGCAATTTCATCTTACGGTCTCGCGTGAAGTACACCCTTTCCACATTCAAACTGAATTTTGTCTCTCCACAGGCACAACGTGACTGAACGTTGTGGCTCCGCATGTTCCTGAATTAGGTAAAGTCGAAATCTCCCAAATTTGGCACCTTCCGGCTAAATTTTGCGTTTACAACTGATGCACTTCCAATACTTACTAACGTGTATAGGTGGATCAGCCACGGTGGCCAGCTAGTGGGGTCCACCACCGCGTCTTCCTTCTCACGGCCGGAGCATTGTGGTGGGTACTGTGACCGCGGAATGTTTAGTGCAGCAGAACCTAACGATGTCCTTCACTAGATTCCTTTTTCACAGCCCAATCAACCAATTGCGACATATCCCTGGCAGAATCGAGTGTTTACATGCTGTGGGTACGTGGTATTTCATTTGTTTCCCGCATGTTTTGAATTTCTCTACCCTCAATCTGTGGAGGTCGTCTCAGTGGGTTTCGGTGAAGATTTAATCTGCTTCCTTAGCTGTTTGTACGGGAGAGCTTTACAGATTAGTGTGGTGTTTTGTTGCAAATAAGAACGAGTTGTGTGAAACTCAGCGCGAGCAGACAGGTTTGAGCTTTGTGAGAAGCATTTCAGGAAGTCAATGAGTTGATCCTGTTCAATTTGGATGCAGGATATAATTTGAGCAGAAGCGAGGTGGTGCGGGTGGTTGTGTGCAAGTTTGGGGATTATCATCGAAATCTCTCAATCACGTTACTAGTTTGAAGGTTATGGTGTTTGGGCAGATTGTGATCGGGCCCGCGGGCTCCGGGAAGACTACCTATTGCAATGGCATGGCTCAATTCCTTCACCTGATTGGCAGGTTTGCAACTCAATGCTTCATATTCTGCTTTGGAACGAACACTAAGATAAACTTACACATGGGCCTGAATGGTTTTTTAGATTTCTTGGTGCAAGATTCTGATGATTTGAGTTTTTATCGACCTCTCTGTGAATTAGGGTTTTAGGTTTTGGGTTTTGGGTTTGCGATACATGATAGTTTGAAACTTAGCATTTGAAGGGGATGGTTGAGTTAGAATATTTTTCTGCTGCTTCTCCGTGCAGAAAGACTGCAGTCATCAATCTGGATCCGGCAAATGACAACCTCCCGTATCCTTATGTTTTTATGATGAATATGACCTTGTTTTTAACGTCGAGTGTTTTTCTTTAGCAGCCTAGTTTTTGAAAGTCTAGAGAATAAGTATTGTAATTCATCAAGGGCGTTGTGTAGTTTTGAAGAACTATTCTTGATTACGTTATGGGAGCATCCAGTTGGATCCCTGACCAAGTTAGATACGAGTGTGCCGTCAACATTGAAGACCTTGTCAAGCTGGAGGATGTGATGTCTCAGTACGATCTTGGACCAAATGGAGGTAATTTTTTTCTTAGCGAAAACGTGACATCTAATCTATTCGGTTATACGAGGACCGAATATGGTCGGATGGATCACGCATGCCAGTAGCAATCCTAGCAAAGCTTCATTGATCTAGTGATCTCGGCAAGTAAATCTTCAGGTGTGAAGGGTTAATATACGTTTGCAGTATTTATCGTGAGTGAAGCTGTTTAGGGTTCGAGTTTGCGTCGGCAGTGGAGAAGTTAAGCGTTTAACTTTCGCCCTTGTGTCACCAATTAACATAATCTTTACTTGTCAGTGGAGGTAGCTTGCGTGTAATGAACTTTCGAATGTGGGCCTACTGCAGGACTTGTTTTCTGTATGGACTATCTTGAGAAGAACTTAGATTGGCTGCAGGAGAAGCTTCGACCGCTTATTAAAGGCAACGCGCTGATCTGAACTTGTCTATCAGTTGACTTGTGTGGTGTCAAAGTTTCTTTATTCATTGTTGGTGTTTGTAACTGATTGCATTTCCTTTTTATGGAAGCCAATGGAACTACTTTGGAATTGTGTGTATGGCAACAGGGATAGAGTAGTCGTTGAACGTTTTGTTTAAGACAGCTTTTGTTTTCTCCATCATGCTAGGAAGTTCTAGTTAGTGGTTAGAATGGAAGTTTTAGTAATATTATTGCTATTTTACTGACAGGTTTCATTTCTAGGTTGAGGTTACTGTAACATCTTTTGTGGCTCTGGTGTTGCAGACCATTATCTTATATTCGACTTCCCTGGCCAAGTGGAGCTTTTTACGCTACATTCAAATGCAAAGAACGTGATATTAGAAATGGCGAATAAGTGGGACTATCGGGTGTGTTCCTTTTCCTATCTATCATTGTTTACTTCTACATAACTATTTTCTTTTTGGTTCGTCTATGATAACTGTGGGAGAAAGATATGTAAGTAATGATTGTGCGTACATATAATTCCTGATTTCACAATTTAAAAAAATGTGTAATTTTATGATTTTGCCTTCCTTATGCAGCCTTGAATTTGCTGGTTGCAGCTCACAGCGGTTCATCTAGTAGATGCCCACCTATGCAGCGATCCTGGGAAATACGTATCTGCGCTTCTGGTATCTTTGTCTACTATGCTTCACTTAGAGCTTCCACATATCAACGTGTTGTCGAAGATTGATTTGATTGAAAGCTACGGCAAACTTGGTAATTTTCCACTGTGCATCTGTTTTTCATACATCTTATAGCAATATTTTTTGTCCATTTATTGTTGCTATTGCTCACACTTGTGTACTATCCATGATCTTTTTCAGTACCATGAAGTAGGAAGCATTTGCTATTTTTTTATCTGAAGATAGATGCTTTTGAAATTACGCCGTCTTTTTAGTTTAGCCTCCCAGTTCACAGGGTTGATGACTTCGAAACTGGAGTGTGTTTTCTTTTTAATTGCATTACTGGAGCGTCAATGCACACCTGGTGTGAATTTTGTACAGACTAGGTTTTTCTGTCAACAACAGGATGTGTTGATATCGTAATGATCGTTTATGACGTGAGATCGTTTATGACAGCTTTTAATTTGGACTTCTACACTGATGTTCAAGACCTCTCTTATCTCCAAGGGTATTTGGATAGTGATCCAAGATCGGCCAAGTATAGGTACATCTCTGTCCTTTGTGTTGCATTTTTCTAGGTTGGCAACATCTCGAAAAGCGGTGTTGGGGATATAGGATTGTCGGTTGTGAATGTTCAACTTGTGATTTCGTTCGTTAATACCCCCTGTGGGTTTGTTAGCGTATGCAAAGCGTAAACATCTTTGATATACTTTGGTGATATTGTGAACTGCAATTGTGTATTGGTTCCGTTCCAGGAAGTTGACGAAGGAGTTATGTGAAGTTGTAGAGGACTATGGTCTTGTGAGCTTTACAACATTAAATATACAGGTCTGTAACTATTCCTCACTTTTGAGCAGGCTTTATTTGGGATTAGGGTTTCGGTTCAGCAAGATTTCCCCACATCAGTAAGAAGTTTAAAGGCCTCGAGGCCACTAAATGTAATTCATTGTGCTCATGTATCCGTTAGAGCCGTGTAGTTATCCTTTTTTGTAATGCTGTCAATAACGTGCATGTTATGAAATCGTAGTCGGCTTTTCTGCTGGTTCCTTGGTATCATGTCGAAATCTCTTTTGAAGTGCATTTCTCATCGCATGGATTTTCTTTGGTTTTTTATTTACAGGATAAGGAAAGCGTGATGGATCTTTTGAGGATAATTGACAAAAGCAACGGCTATGTCTTCAGAGGAATTGAGGGTAACATCAACGAGTTCAACAAACTGGCTGCTGCCCCCACCAAGTGGGACTACGATAGATATCCTTTCTTTTTTGTTTTTATCATCAGTTAAGATTCTTTGATGATGCATCATGATTGAATGTTATGACTTGGTATTATTGTTGGTTATGCTGTTGCTAATCCTGCAGCCTAAGCACATTGGCATGGATTGTCTGCCTTAACATTGGTTTGATTTCTACGACGATGGCCATTCAAGAGATGTATATGAGGGACGATGACGATGTTAACGATTCTGACACTCCTCGGTAGGGGGTGTACCCTAAGGTCGCATTTGTGAAGTGTGGAGTGACTAGACTTGCAGCACAAAATAGCCCTTTAGAAAGTGATGTACAAAGTGGTAATTAGAAGGATGAATGAACGTATGCCAGTGTCGGATTCTTGGAAAATATCGGTTTCAACATAACTGAATTTCCACGTGGTTAGAAACAAATGTCTGTTGACAAGGCTGCCTGCTTCTCCGTAATAAACTATTTTTTGCTAACATTTCTCCATCTTATTTAATTTCTTTCTCTTACAAGATCTTGTATTATTTTGTTCTGTCGTTTTCTTTGGAGGGTCCAATATCATTTTGAAGATGACGTATCAGGCAGTTTGGTTACTTCATCACCTATTCATCACCCAAACACGCGCGCTTGTGTTATGTCTGTGTATATTACTTTATTGGTGTAATGTAGGAGGTCTCTGGCAAACGTTTTCATGATATTTTATTTGATTCTTATTTTTGAAACATTAAGAATTTTTTTTTGCTATGCAAAAAAAATTCACAATTAACCAAGTCCTATAGATAGCTTTGAATAAAAGGCATGACTATTGGATATTTATTGGTTACAATACAAAGTCTAAATAAGTAGGGGTAAGATTCAAAATTTCTTTATGAAGTGTTCTATTATATAAATTTGTTGTTTAAATTCAAGTCTTATTCAACTACAAAAAATATTTAGTTTCTTTGCCAAGGGGTTTGTTAATAGATTTTTGAATCTTGAGTTAATGTAATTCATAATAATCTAAAAAATAAGTTAGATGTATGCGTAAGGGCATTGTCAAAATCAATAAATGACTTCAAACAAATTGCAGCCTTAATCATTGTTTAGAATTTTTAGATTATCTTAGAACCTTATAAATACTTACAATATTTTTTGCAGATTTTTAAATGATCTTATTATTGTAGTCAAAATAAGGTAGTAAGTTAAGAATATCTCAAAGTTACCAACCCAAGTTTTGAAGCAATTGAAATGTTGTTTTGTTTCTTCTCCTTTATCAAAAATTAATTTTTTATCTCCTATGTTTCATGTCTTACTTCTTTATTTTTGCATTCTTGACATATATTTTAAAAAATATCAATAGTAATCAATTTGCTAGTGCCATTATTAAATTACAATGTCTTTATGTAAGAGAGGTCAAATAAATATTAATTTCTTATGCACTCTAGTCTTATTTTGTACAATTAAAAAAGTGGTCAAGTGTTGTTCTTTTACTAATTGACCACTTTTAGAAGAAGATTTTGATAAGAGAAAAAAACGTTTAAGAATAAATTTTCTAAGTTTAACTTTCTCTTGAATTGAAGGAGTTCCATATTGCCATGTTAAGAGATGAAGCTCAAATTTGAAGTCTTGAAGTGTAAAAGATATACCTCAATTCAATACTATGGCTCTTCTTGTTAGAAATGTCCATATTCTTGACATTGATAATGTGCCTTTAGAAAGCATTAATAAATTCTAGCATTTGACTCATTTAGTATTTATTCACTAATTATTAAAAATAATATGTAAGTTTCTTATTAAATTATTGTATGTTGAATTAAATGTTACTTATACATATTATAGTAACATAATATGCAATTATAGATAATGGTTCATGTATTTTAGTTAAATCTAACGTGGCAAGACCTTAAAGTTTATATATATTGAAGCTACAATTTTTTTTAGTAAATTCATATCCATTAACTTGAATGTCTTTGATGGAGTTTTCTTATTTATTTAAATAAATAAGTATATAAGTAAATATACAACCAAATTTAATAGAACAAAGTTAGAATCTATTTTTTAGGTTCCTTCAACAAAGATATTGCACCAAAAGTCCATGTCCTCAAAAAAAATGAAATGAATCAAAATTCCAAAATAGAATGTCAACCCCGTTCCTCCATTTGACCCAATGGAAAGCTTACACCAGATGCCGACGTATACAAACCAGGTTTAGGGTTTGGCGATTGCTGTAGGAATCTTCAAGTCTGAACAGGTACAAAGTGTGAATTTTTGTTTCCTGTGATAGTGCGTGTGTGGTGGAGGCAGGCGTGAGGTTTTGCGCACGCAGAGAGCGTTGGGATTGTCTAAGACACATTTGTAGGTGAGTTTTTCATCTCAAGCGGTTGATTCTCTTCCTTGTGATTGATTTTGGTTTGGCCTTATAGCTTGTTTGCTCTTTAGTTTTTTTCTGCGGCGGCAGCGTGTTGAACATCGTGAACAGAGTTTGTAAGTTGTTGTAAGTGGGAATTGTACATCAGGATTAGTGATCATGTTCTTGAATTTGTTGAATGAGATGGGATGAAGTATCTGACGAGATTTGTTCGTTTTTCGCTGAGTCGTTGATGCTCAACTACATGAAATGAGTCCTCTTATGCTGCTTCTCCCAGTAATTGAAAACATCCTTTGCCCCGCTTGAATTCACGCCCATAGTTTATACAAGTTTTCATGGTTTGCGCGAAGGATTGCTCGATTTAGGTCACGAACAGGGACCAAGTACATGGCAACTATGGTTTGCTTTACTTTATGAGTAATTCGGATTGTCGGGAGAACAGCCACACTTTTGAAGAATACAGCAAAGAGTTTGCGTTAGCTTTCGAGTCGTAATGCCGCTGTCAGGGTGCAGGTTAGCTTAATAGAATTGACTATGGTTTTTGTGTGAAAATGTTCGTCAGGCAAATTCACCCTCCAACCGGTGAGATCTAGGGAAAGGCCTGAGAATGCCGGCAAGTAAGTCGCGAGGGCGGCGCAAGCTGGGTTGTACTTTGATACGCCTCAATCTGTAAGCCAGCTTGTCCCTTGAAGCCACTCCCATATTTTTTTTTTTCTTTTCCTTTATGTTTTTGGTATTTTAGGAATGAGACATTTGTATGAAATTCAGGTCAGTTATTAGTTTCTTATTCTTGGTTGTGTGTCTGGTGGGCAGGATATTAGATTCTTCTAAACTCAAGTCATCCGAGGACCTATTCACTGAAGCCTTAAACACGGTTCTCACCACGCTCTACGGTGTAATTGGAGGCGCTTTCAGTTGGGATCTCGTGGAGTTTGACAGCAAAGCTTCTATAGGTAGCATCCGGTGCCAGAAGAGCGATGAAGAGCGTATATGCGCAGCTGCTAGCTTTTTGACACAGATTAAGGGCTTCCCATGCCGCCTTGAAGTTCTTGAATCCTCTCCCTCTCTTCTGCCCACTTTTGATCTCGACCCCGACCTTTTGGACTCGTCCGCTTGAAGACGTTTCAAAGAACATATCTTCATTTTACGGCAATTGTCACACTCTCTGTTTCTTGCAACATCCAGCACATGCCAAGTCCCTCAAATATGGATAAAGACATCGAGATCGGCGGTGTCGACCCCTCGCTCAGCGTCTTCAGTTATGATTGTAAACTCGGTGAGCGCGCCACCAGCGACGTGATTGTTAGGCTACGAACCATCCACGGCCGTGACGACTGGATCTATGCTCGTAGTGAGATTCTCTGCGCCAAGAGTAGGTATTTCACATTACGTCTCTGCGACGAATGGCCGACATATGATCTCGTCGACTCCCGCTACTGTGTTGAAATTATTTGCGATGAGTCCGACATCGAACACCATGTCAACCTCCTGCGCATGTTGTACTCTAACCTCGAGGAGCCTGTCGGGGACATGTGGCACAGCGTGGGGAATGCGCTCGGGACACTGAAAGTGGCCACTAGGCTCGGCTGCGATGCTATAGCTACCAAGTGTGCGCGCTACTTGGAGGCTGTGCCGTGGGAGGAAGGCGAGGAGGAGGAGATTCTCAAGGCATTACCAGCAATTGTGAGCTCAACACGCAAACTCGTCGCTGGTCTTGGCGCGGAGGCCCAGCCCGTCCTTGCAAGACTGCAACCTGTGGACGCGGCATCGATTCGCAACGTGTTCCTCTCCGCTGTGCACATGGCGACATCATCTGAAAGCAAATCTTACTCCAGCACATCCTCGAAGCTACCGAGGGATCTGAAGGCGGCAGCTCAAGAAAAAGTTGAGTACATGTTAGATGAAGACGACGATGCGCCGCTGCTCATCGCCGACGAGGAGCTAAAAGCCGCGCTCAAGGCGAAATTCTTGGACCTGTTTGAAAGCTTTAAATTTGAGCTGAGTACGCTCACGGATTCCACACGATAATTTTGCGAGGCGACGATCCTTGAGAAAATCTCTGACCTCTTGTGGGCTTCTCGCGTCCTCCCTCATGGGGGGCTCAACCCAGAGTTCGTGGAGTTTTGGTTGGAGGTTTCGAGTGATATATCTGTAGCATTGATTAGTGAGAAGATGCGGGAAGTTTTGTGGGATACGAAGCTGCGCGTGATTGAGATCACGGCAACGGTGCTCCATGCGGTGGGGTATGGGAATGTGACCTTTGAGTGCTGGCGAGCGCACGCGGCTGGTAAAGATTTGGTTGCCTTTCATTCGCGAAACGACGCCAATGCTGGAGGAGATGTTTGCGGTGCAGAGATTGAGCTTAGAGATGGATTTAGACCTGTATCAGAGCATCCAGAATGCACTTGTGTCGCTTGTGTTATCGTTGTCTTCGGTAGATCAGGCTGAGATCCTCGCAGACTGGCTTCGCTGGGATCACGCCAGGTATGACATTCCAAATGTATCAACCTGTTGCAAAAGAGCCAAAAGCTTCTAATGATTCTTGTAAATGCCGAAGGGAAGAGGGCAACTTGGCATTATCTAGTGCCAGTATGAATGCCTCTCCACTTTATCATGCTAGGCAAAAAATTTCGGCGAATGTTAAAAATATCACTTCCCATCTTAGGAATCCCGTCACGGTCTACATTCTTCGTAGTTCATAACATCCTCCCCTCTCCTTATCCTCATTACTACCCTTGGTTTGGACCTTCAAAAGATGCATGCTTCTTATCAATGAAGCTTGTGTTTGTCTTTTACATTCTTCGGTATCAGCCTAGAAGAGAGTTTGTGACTGATTCTTCTGTTTGAGTGGGCAGATTTCCAGATCTGAGCGAGGCATTTGAGGTGTGGTGCTTCCGAACCAAAGCTGCAAAGCGGCGTCTGAGCATCGACACTCGTAAGGGCGCGAGTGCTATATGCAGTGGAGGTGCATCATGATCAAATTACTTCACAAGTTCACTGCCTCCACCATCCCCACCTAATTATTATTATTATTTATTTTTATTTTTTGTTTTTGTTTTTTCTCAATGTGCGAAGGTTTCTAAAATTAATTATTGTAATTTCTTAGAACCAAAATGTTTAAAAGAATTAAAAATACAATTATTAGAATTTTTTGTAAAGTTTTTGTGTATCAATAATCATGAAACTTAAATATATGCAACAACTAAGAAACTGTCTTCAATTCATGTAATTATAACTTTTCTTCTAGCAATCTCAAATTCTATAGACATATCATCTTATTAGAGTGAAGATCAAAAGGGATTCTTATCTTTTGACAAAGAAAGAAAAAAAACATAAGAACTTTGATAGCCTCCAAGTTTACGGAGTAGAAAAAATGAAGTAGATTACATTTGTGGTAGAGTGGAATCTCTACTTCTTGATCAACTATGTTGTAAAAAAAACATAAGCAAAGACAATGATAATACAATTGACATAAGTGATCTTGATGAGGAACTTTTATCTTAAGAGACAACTAAGAGTAGAAGCAAATCTCCCTTAATATAGCTATTCCATAAAAAATAGCTATAAAAGTTAGGTATTTAGAGAAGAGTTTTGTATCTTCTATAGTAGCTTTGTGGCATAAGTCTTAAGTGTGAGATGACGCTAAGGGCACCTTTGTAGGATGTTTCTAAAAAAAAAAAACTAGTTGAAAAACAATGGATGCATATAAGAGGTATTGTAAGTGATATTAAAGCTTTTTAGTTTAGAGACTATGAGCTATTTCTATTCAACTTTTAAAAAATTTGCTTAATAAAACAAGGATTAAGAAAATTGTTAGAAAAATGATAAGAGGGTGCTTACATTGATCAAGGAGGAGTTTTAAAATCAAAAAGAATAATTCAAAGGAAGAAATCCTTAATTAAAGATCTCAATTTTGAAAATGAAAAAAATAGTCAAAATTAAGAAGCATCCTTGATAAGTTTCTAGAAGGTTTAATAACCTCAAAGTGAGATAAATGAATGAAAATAAGAAAGGAAAAATCCACAAATATAAAATATGATCAACTCAAAAGATTTGATAGAAGGTTGAAGATAGAAAAAAACAAGTAGCTTTTCTTAAGAAATTGAAAGAATTATATCAAGATATATGGAAGAAAAAAGAAAAAGAACTTAAAAGAAAGATAGAAGTTAATCAAATTTTTATTTATACTCTCATGAATGTAAACAAAATACTCTTTAAAAGACAAAAGTGTTAAATAAGTTCACTTTGAATCAAGACAAATTAATGTAGAAAATAAAAGGAGAGAAAACATGAAAAAAATACAATGAGATTTCTTAAGAATGAGTATTGGTATTTGCCAATGATATTAAAAATGATATAAACAAGACAAAGGCCTTGTGTTAAGGACATGAATCACAAAAACTAAAAAACCTCAATACATTCTTGTACTATTCAAAAATATAGATATTCATTTAAAGTAATATAATATTAAAACTAGAATGGCTATTTCTAAAGATAAGAAGACTAAAAATTCTTAAAAAAGATTAAGGATAAAAATAAGTATTGACAAGAGTAAAAAAGGCTTCATTTTTGTTTTTATATATACTATTTAACTCAAAGCTATATGGCAATGTTCTTGAGAACTTCCAACATGTGTCTAACTTTTAAGATAAGTTTCCTATACGCATCCCACATGGCAAACTTGTTGGTTAAGTTTTCAATCTATAAATCACCTATAAATATATATAAATTCAAATTCTTATTATTATATTGTAATATAATTATATGATAAAAGATAAAAATACGGATTCTATTCTAGAAGAACCTAATTGAAAGATACAATAAAAAAACATGGATAAATAATAGGAAGATAGTAAAAAAATTTAGTGTTAATGCTATCTTTTTGAAAAAAAATGCTTCTACTAATTTTTTATGGCAATAAAAAAGGAAAAATAGTAGATTAAAAAAATATACATGGATATCTTTAGAAAAAAATTAAGAATAGTTTTTATTAAAAATTACCTTTCAAAATAAAAAATTAATACTTGGATAGGACTTATTATGAACTTAGGTTGAAATTAGATCCAAAGACATAAAACCACGCACTTACATCAATTTTGAGGTTCTTTGGTTTATGACAAAGTAAAGATTAAGAACAAATAAGAATTTTTTTTTGACCATTGATTTTCATTGGTTTGAGTTTGTAATGACTTTTAAAAGACTTGGCAAAATCAAGGTTTTTTTAGAATGACTTTGGATTTTTGAGAAATGTAAAGATTTTATACTCTAGAAAATTTTATAAGATTTTTAAATAATCTACTAGTAAAATTTTGTAATTGTGTGATTATATTTGTATTAAATATATGCTTTAAACTTGAGTTTAATCAAATTATTTATTTGAAGGCTATTGAAATTCACATGTATAGAAAACTTGAAAATTAGAATTTACAGATATAGTGAAGGTTTCTAAAATTTGCAGAAATTTGCTTATTAAATTGAATATACTTTATACACTTCTATTAAACTTTATTTTTAATAACTTAGCAAAGTTTTTAAGCCATTAAATTATGAAATCTAAAAATATTGGTAGTAAAAAATTGACAACAAGGTTAAAAAAGGATGCTAGCCAATACCTAATCATATTATGAGGTTTATTTTCTATTTAATAAGTTTGATCTGCTTAAAATTATTTGTGCTTATTATCAACTAAGTAATTAAAAGATGTGAAAATTTTGAGTTAAAATCTATGATTAAATTATTAATTATTCAGATTTTAATCTATTATAAGATTTATTAAGGATTTAATTAGGATTTAATTTTTAATTAAATATTGATTAATTTTTTTTAAGATTGAAAAAAAAATTAAGATTCTTTTAAGATTCTTTTAAATTTTTCTTAGGATTTATTTAGGATTTGTTCAAGATTTATTTAAAGTTTGTTTAAGACTAGTTTAAGATTTATTTAGGTTTTATTTAGGGCTAAATTAGGATTTGGTTAATATTTTATCAAATTTTTTATAGGATTTATTTATAATTATATTAGGATTTTGTTAGGATATATTTAGAATTTATTTAGAATTTTTATTTTTATTATTAAAAATATTTATTATTATTATTAAAAATATTTATTATTATTATTAAAAATATTTATTATTATTATTATTATTATTATTATTATTATTATTATTATTATTATTATCATATTTTATTTTTAAGATTATTTTTTTAATATATCTTTAAAGTTTGTATATAATTTTTTTATATTTCTTTTATAATTTTTTTAAGGCTTGTTTTGGACTTAACAAAAGTTTGATTGAGATTGTTAAGATTTAATAGGAATTTATTTAGAATTCTATTAGAGTTGTTAGGATTTTATTTTTGCAATTTCTAATTTGCCTTTCACAACCAAGTCCTTTGTACATTCTTAAGCAAGGTTTTATGCAATAGAACAATGATTACACTATTTTGATTTAGATGTGTTAGTCAATACTACCAAAGCTCTCTTCTTTGGCTATTGCTGCTAATTCATTTAACAAGATAATTCACAACGGAGCAATTTTTTTCTCAAAACCATTGAAATTTTTACAACATACAAAACAAAAAATATTAAAAAATTAATTAAATGAATAAAGATACATGATTCAATAAAATAAAAAATAAAAAATAAATAAAAAATAAAAATAAAAATATTAGATTGGATTATTTTATTTTAATAACAACTTAAAACAACTATAGAATAGCAATTTAGGGAATGCCTTGGACTTCTTTGGCAACAAGATAGAATGCACATGATATTGAGTTGCAAAGAGCATAGTAAATTAAGTACTGTGGCTTCTATAGTAGATACTAGAATGCCTAAACTTAGACTTATAATACAATTTATAGTAAAGGCTTATCTTTACTATATACTTGATACTACGTCTCCAATGCCATAATTTATTTATTATAAATATTGCTTGCTTTAATATTTAGTAACTTTGAACAAGGATGCAAAATTAATTTATAGACATCTACTTCTTGCCACAAAGCTAACAACTTTGTGAATGTATAAACTAACAAAAATTATGAATTGAAAAGATGCATAAGTATATCTAAACAAGCTGGTTGTTGATTTTCTTAATTGGAAGTTTTGAAACACAGTATAATTTTTTAAAAATTGTTTGAAAATTGAGGATCTTTATTTTATACTAATTATCTTTGCTATAATATTATTAAATGTGACATCAAAGTAGATTGTAGCCAATTAGTACTTAGACACATATAATAATGCATGTCGAGCAATTAGACCCAACATCCCTTGTTTAAAGTGGAATAGGCAATTGGAAGCATTTGCTACCAACTAGGCGAAGAATTATTATTGTGTTAAATAAAGCTTGCTTGAGAATGCATTAGATATTTAGTTGTAGTAAGTAAATTAAAAATTGCATCAACAAGGCCCTAATAATTCTAATAGAATTCTAAATAAATTCCAATTAAAGCTTAAAAATGCTAGTAAAATCTTAATTAAATCTAAAAGAAGTCTTAGAAAATTATAAAAGAAGAATATAAAACCTAAAATAATTTATAAATAAATCATAAATAAAATTTTGAAAATATTTTAAAAATATAAAATTATAAATTCTAAATAAATCCTAAGTCAATCTTAATCAAATCTTAAGTAAATAATTTGATTCAAAAAATTATTTTAATATTGATATATTTTAAA